GAGGGGGAGGCCTTCAACGAGATGGATTGACACGGTGGCTGCGATGATGGGCTCAAGTATAGCAGGGATTGTGGGGCTGGCGCGGGTTCGGGCAGTGTTTCGTTCTGCTGTGCGTGGGGTCGCTATGAGTCGGAAACGACTCGATGGCACTTAACAACAACAACAACAACAAGACACCTGACAATCCACCAGGAGTGGACGTGGGAGCCCTCATGCCCTCACCCTGAGAATTCAGTATGACAACATATGCCCTTTTCTTGTATCAAAACCAGTTGTTTTGAATCTAAAATTTATTTGCCAAGTTCTTAAAATGTTATTAAAATCTGGTATGGATTTTCTATGGATACATTTTCCTTATAGTGAAGGATAGCAAGGAATCAGTGAATTGACATTAAAGTGAATGCCTCATTAGGAAAACGCAGGTATGTCTTCTGTTGCTAATGACACCTAAAGTCCAATTGGAGTATAAGGGAACCCTACATAGACAGTGCTTAGGTTAAAAACCAGACCCGTTCCTAGCTATTTAAGAACGTGTCAGGGCTTTGAAGCAACTCTGCCCAGTTGAGTCATGGCTGAGGAAGCAGCACTGGAACAGATTTGAATATGTGGAGTTACAGTGAACCAGAGAGATAGCCAGAATGGGAAAACTTACAGGTCAAAGCCTTGCTAGAGGCTTAACCTCCCTCTTGCAGAAGAAGGGCAGTATATGTGCTGCATAACAACCAAATCTCTTCCCCTAGAAATATGAGCACACTCTGAAGCAGCACTGCCCCATTCAAACATGAGGGCCAATCACACAGCTGTGAATGTGTGGCCCTCTCCTACAGTCCTGCCAATAATCTAGAATTTTTCCCATTTTGGGAAAGCTCTGGATCTGTTCCTCTTTCACTGCGTCAGCCATGATAGAACTGGTTTAAAGGGCAAATAGGAGTTACTTAAAGTTCGATGTTCATAACCCACGGCCCGCCCATACAATCTCCTAGCTCATAGGACCATGAAAACACTGAGAAGGATCAATGGACCCAGTCCATTTTTCCTAATGAAATTGGCCAGTTGATTGCCAGGATGTACATCACCAACACAGCATCACCTGTGCTCGCCAGTAAAGTGCCACTTCATTTTGTAGATCTCTATAAGCAAAGTGCCACTACTTATCTGGCAGTTTGTCGCACTGTGGTGGCTTGTGTGTTGCTGTGAGGCTGGAGGCTACGCCATCAGTATTTCAAATACCAGCAGGGTTATCCACGGTAGACAGGTTTCAGCAGAGCTTTTAGACTAAGACACACTTGGAAGAAGGAAGAGGCCATCCACTTCTCAAAGAATTGGCCAGTGGAAACCTTATGAATAGCAGGGAAACACCGTCTGATATATTACCAGAAAACTTTATAAACAGCCCTGAGACACTGTCTGATATAGTGACAGAAGATGAGCCCCTCAAGTCAGAAGGCCCTCGAAATACGACCGGGGAAGAGCTGCCCCCTCAAAGTAGAGGAGACCTTAATGACGTGGATGCAGTAAAGCTTTTAGGACATCTATTTGCTGATAGGGCATCACTCAAAATGGGAAGAAACAGCTGCAAACATCCATTAATAATCAGGACATGGAATGTATGAAGTATGGATGTCAGAAAATTGGAAGTTGCCCAAAATGAAATGGAATGCAGAAAGATCGATATCCTAGGCATTACTCACTGCTGTCGAGTCAAATCCAACTTACAGCAACCCCTCCTTGGGTTTTCAAGGTGGTATCTCTATGGAAGTAGATTGCCCAGTCTTCCTTCTAAGGAGTGGCTGGTGGGTTTGAACCGCTAGCCTTCTGGTTAGCAGTCAAATGCCTTAAGCACTATGCAATCAGAGCTCCTATCCTAGGCATTAATGAGCTGAAATGGACTGGTTTTGGCCATTTAAAATCAGACAATCACATGATCCACTATGCCGGGAATGACAAATTGAAGAGGAATGGTGTGGCATTCATCATCACAAAAAAATGTTTCAAGATCTATCCTAAAGGACAATGCTGTCACTGACAGGATGATAACCATACACCTATAAGGAAGACTACTTAATGCTACTAGAACTCAAATTTCTGCACCAACTGCTAAAGCCATAGATACAGAAATTGAAGATTTTTTTTACCAACTTCTGCAGTCTGAAATCGACCAAACATGCAATCAAAATGTGTTGATTATTACTGGTGACTGGACTGGTGATTGGAATGCGAAAGTTGGAAACAAGGAAGAATGACCGGCGGCTGGAAAATATGGCCTTGTGATAGAAATGATACCGGGCATCACATGATATAATTTTGCAAGACCAGCAACTTATTCACTGCAAATATCTTTTTCTAACAGCATAAACAATGCCTATACATGTGGACTTCACGAGATGGAGTACACAGGCATCAGAGCGACTCTGTCTGTGGCAAGAGGCAATGGAGAAACTTCTATCTTCCACCAAAACAAGGCCAGGACCTGACTGTGGAACAGACCATAAATTGCTCATATGCAAGCCCATGCTGAAGTGGAAGAAAATTAAAACAAGTCCACAAGAGACAAAATATGACCTTGATTATATCCCTCCTGAATTTAGAGACTGTCTAAAGAATAGATTTGATACACTGAACACCAATGACTGAAAACCAGAGAAATTGTGGGATGACATCAAGAACATCATCCATGAAGAACACAAAAGGTCATTAAAAAGACAGGAAAGGAAAAACAGACCAAAATGGATGTCAGATGAGACTCCAAAACTTTCCCTTGAACAGAGAATAACAGCTAAAGCAAATGGAAGAAACCACGAGATAAAAGAGCTGAGCAGAAGATTTCAAAGAGCAGCTCAAGACAAAGTCAATTATTATAATGAAATGTGCAAAGACCTGGAATTAGAAAACCAAAAGAGAAGAACATGCTCAGCAAGCCTCGGGTCGCAATATCGAAAGACTCTATGGGCAAAATATTGACTGATGCAGAAAACATCAAAAGAAGATGGAAGGAATACACAGAGTCACTGTATCAAAAAGAACTGGTCAATGTTCATTCATTTCTGGAGTTGGGCTAGGATTAAGAAGTGATGGTACTGAAGGAAGAAGTCGAAGCTGCACTGAAGGAACTGGAAAAAAAACAAGGCTCCAAGAATTGACAGAATACCCATTGAGATGTTTCAACAAATGGATGCTGTATTGGAGGTACTCACTCATCTATGCCAAGAAATTGGAAGACAATTACCTGGCCAACTGACCATAAGAAATCCATATTTGTGCCCATCCCAAAGAAAGGTGATCCCACAGAATGTAGAAATTATCAAACAACATCTTTATTTAACATCACATGTAAGTAAAATTCTGCCTAAGATAATTCAGAAACAGTTGTAGCAGTTTATTGACAGGGAGCTTCCAGAAATGCAAGATGGATTCAGAAGAGGACGTGGAATGAGGGATATCATTGCTGATGTCAGATGGATCTTGGCTCAAAGCAAAGAATATCAGAAAAAAACGTTTACTTGGGTTTTATCGACTATGCAAAAGCATTTGACTCTGTGAATCATAACAAACTATGGATAATATTGAGAAAAATGGAAATTCCAGAACACTTAATTGTGCTCATGAGCAATCTGTACATAGACCAGGAGGCTGTTCTTCAAACAGAACATGGGGATACTGCACGGTTTAAAATCAGGAAGGGAGTTCACCAGGGTATATCCTTTCACCATACTTACTCAATCTGTATGCTGAGCAAATAATCCGAGAAGCTGGACTATATGAAGAAGAGCATGGCATCAGGATTGGAGGAAGACTCATTAACAACCTGCGATATACAGATGACACAACCTTGCTTGCTGAAAGTGAGGATGACTTGAAGCACTTACTGGTGAAGATTAAAGTCTATAGTCTGCAGTATGGATTATGTCTCCATATAGAGAAAATAAAAATCCTCACAACTGGACCAAAAAGCAGCATCACAGTGAATAGAGAAAAGATTGGAGTTGTCAAGGATTTCACATTACTTTATCCACAATCAACACCCATGAACTCAGGAGTTAAGAAATCAGACAATGTACTGCACTACGCAAATCTGCTGCAAAAGACCTCTAAAGTGCAGAACTCACAGATCTGTCCTGGAAGTATAGCCAGGATGCTCCTTGGAAGTGAGAATGGCCAGACTTCACTGTCAGAAGGGACCATTCCCTGGAGAAGGATATCATGCTTGGTAAAGTGGAAGGTCAAAGAAAAAGGGGAAGACCCTCAACGCGATGGACTGACACAGCGGCTGTAACGGAAGGATTGTGAGGCTGGTGCAGGACCGGGCAGTGCTTTGTTCTTCTGTTGTAACAGAACCGAACAACAACAACATAACGAAGTGAACTCATTAACCTTACCAATGGCCTTGATTGATTCTCCTGGAAAAAGTGGAGCTTCTTCCATCTGTGCCAGCTTATTCCCATCCCTTAGGGCCTGGCAAAAAAGAAAAAGAAAACAAAACAGGAGTCAGTCTCCCTTTCCTGGGCTGAATCCCGGTGTGCTGTGCTCTAGCTGAGGCTACAGAAGCATGCAGTATGTACGGCCCCTCCCCGCCCTTTAAAGACAGCTTCCCAGCTCAGCACCACAGGACACCATGCTGCATATTCTAGCAAACTGCTCCAACACATTTCAGTGTCACAGGTAGAAAGGACTAATACAGAAATGGCTCGACACGACACCACACAGACAGCTCTAAGGCGCCTTCAGAATGTGGAAAGAAGGTCAGAAAAAGGTTACCTTCTGAGCATGAAACCAGTTCAAACGAAATCAATGTTAGAAGCAGGTGCTGAGCTAGCTGGGGCATGGATTACCCAACAAGCAAGGTAAGCACAGGCTTACTTGTGCTTACTTGCTGATCTGTAGTGAACAAAACATGTAGAACTGTTCATTACAGATTAGTAACTAAGCACAAGTAAGCCCACGCTTCTCTGCTTACTGGGTAATGCGACACTGAGGAGACGGCGTGGGAACGTCTAATTGAAGTATCCAGGTCTCAGGCCACTAACATCGCCAAGGAACGTTGCAGCCTTGCATTGCAGCTGTGTGCATGCACACAAAAAGTGTACCACAAGGGGGCATGGAGAGTGGGACTGTCAGTGTTCTCTGAGCCAGGCCCTGACAGCGTGGCCGCTCAGCTGGCAGAGGACAGTCTTTCCATCAGTACCTCAGGGAGGGGCTTGCTCATCAGGCATCTCAAGCCAATTAATTCACTCTGTGTTGCTTCCAGGTGCACCTAGCACGTTGCTAACAGCTTATTAGGTTTCCTGACTACAGGGATACGAGGAAAAAGATGCCTGAGATGGCTGTAAAGCGATGTGCCCACATTTCTAATGGCCAGATAGGCACTGTGGCCCAGTAGCCAGTCTCTTGTGAGCTAGGTCGGGTAGCGTGAGCTAATCCCTTGGTGGGTAACTCAGGGGAGCTGAGACAATGGTGACCTAGAGCTCCAAAGCTAGGGGCCTGAGCTTGGCCTCGGGACCCATCCCAAGGTGCTGCTACACCCTGAGACCTGCCAAGTGACCCAGTCACCTTCTGGCATCTCTGGCAGAATGTGTCATGAATAAAAATGAGGTGACACAAAACGACAGCAATTCCTCAGCTGTGTTTCACAAAACATCCATTTCCCCAAGAGCCGTGAACAGGTCTTCTTAAAGTGTGGGAAATGCCAGGTTCAAGGACACAGGTTCGCCTGGTGTCTTTAGCGTGGTCACACACACAACTGAATCCGCAAGAGCGTGCTGGGGAATGTGCCTTTCCCACCATCCTTGCTCAGGAACCGCCTCTTCCGAAAGCACCTGCTAGCCTGGGTGCACACTAGTGCAGGTCAGGCAACATTAGGCTTCCAGCCCAATTTTTCAAATCGATCCAAATATTGCCAATCGATGCCTTTTACAATCCTAATCTAAGTGACTGAAAATTCACTGTAACAAACGTTAATTATTTTCCAGTTTTGAAAGTATTTCAGTATGCTTTCCTACAGGGACTTCAAGGTCAATTTAAAAACACTACACATAGTGGTTTCATCTAAATTTTAGAAAAGAAAGAAAAGGTGAGAACAGACACAGCAAAGGCGGTGCTGAACAGTGGTGAGGCGGCGTCCTGTGCGCGGGGTGTGCAATTCAGTGCACGGAGTCCACTTCACCTTCACCTCCGGGGTGTTTAACTTGAATTTTACTTCAGGTGGGCTTGTAAGAGACTTTTCAGCCAAAATATTTTGGGAGCTAACACATTAAAGGGGGCATGGGGGACCGTTTATGGTTCACTTTTATACTCACACCTGTTTAGGGAAGACCTATCTCTTATACAGTGAAGCAGAAAACAGTATTTAGACTTTAAGTTTCCAGTTTTCAAAATAATAAAACCTCACTAATGTTAATAAACGCCTCAATTTGAAAGTCTGCTTGACTTCATTTATTGCCTGAATGAGTGCCTAATTTTATCACAGTTACAAAGTGAGAAAGTGATTGTAAACAATATCAGAGTTGTAAATCACTTCAAATGTTATGTTGTTAAAGCTTATTTTAGTGGCTAAATATGATCATCTATTATAAAGACTGAAATCCCTTAACACTAATGTAACTTGCATTTAAAAATAAATGGGGATGCATTATTTTTAAACATATTTACAAAAGCAAGCTGTTCTACTCAAGTGAATGGGGAGGGGGAATGATTCACTTTCAGCTTTACAGCAAATTTAAAGCCTCAGCCCAGGAGTCACTAAGAAAATGTGCATGGGAGACAGGAGTGACTGGGCCATTCTGAGAATTCACAAGGCTGTCAAGACAGAGGCTGCAGAGCAAATGTTTCTCTTCCAATGGTCATGTCATGCTTGGCTTGAAAACCCTGTACACTTTGATGAGCATGAGTGCATTGGTGAGACAAGCCCCTCACTCAATAACTGAGTTTAGGATATGCTTTTTAGATTATGAAAACCTACCAGAATAAAACAAACCCCCAAAAAAGACAGTACCGCTTCAGATTTCCCCATAAAAGGTTCATTCTGTCGAGGAAATACATTGGGCTTTAGTACAGGAGCTTGAGAGGAGAGGAGCTTTGCAAGTGTCACTTTCATGAGTACAGTAGATTCCCTTTGTATGGCTGTGTTAGGAGATGGGATTCCGCTTGGGCTACATTAAGCATTTCCTGCAACTACTATGTTGCATAAGACATGATTTGACCCTTGATTTATCCAACCCATGTACACATGATCAGAGAATGGGGTCTCCTCGTGAGTCACATTTGGTCTCACAAACAGACCCATTCCTCTTGCTTTCTTTGCTCAGAGTGTTGCCAGCGGAGGGACTGCCTCTGACGGTATCATCCAAATCCTGCTCTTGTGGCCCTGGCCTCTCCAGCCTGCCTAAGTCCCCTGGCCACTCTACCTCACTAGTGCTAGTAACTGAAAGCCCCCAATGAACACCTCTCCACACCCCAAATCAGAGCCGTCAAGTGGATAATTTGTGTAACAGCCTCATGCCAAAAGCAGCAGGCTTCAAACCGGGCTCAAGGGGCTTCAGGGTCACCAAAGGAGGGTGGGCTGGGTAGTGTTGGGCAGAGACCCCTCTGAGCACCTAGAGCTGTCCCACGGCCCTGGTGCTGTGTTTGCATCTGCAGAAGCTTTAGGAAAAGGGTCTCCAGCAGTACTGAGCAAGGAGGGGGCATTCCAGACTACTTAATAAATGGACATTATTCGGATAAGGAAATATAAACTCTATGGACTTACTCCACAGACATCTACTAGATGACAGGGACTGTGCTGGCCACGGACCATGCAAATGTGAATAAAGCAAAGTGTGCACCCTCAAGGAGCACCCTCAGCAGATGCGACCACCCCCGCCACATCTGTGTGAAGCACTTCAGTGCCAACTGAGGGTCATCAGTGGTAACACCAGTGACCGACTCTGGGGAAACCTAGCAGCACAGATGGGCAAGTTTCTGGTTGGTAAAACGTTGGATAAACCAATTTTTGCAAATAATGTCATAATGGAATCTACCCAACTTGGACACAAGGACACTACTACCATGGAAAAAGCTTTTGGAAAGAATTGCTCGTCATCTGGAATGCTAGTATGGAATGGCTTCTAAATACATGGCCTGGAGCTACAAACAGATGAACACGCAGCACTTGCCACCTGGTCAGCTTCAGCTTCAGCAGGGTAGCCATTGTGCTCTTCCCGAGTCTCCTGCACGCCCCAGGTGCGGACAAGAAAAGGCAAAGAGGAGAGAGAGAGACACGTGCAAACAGACAGGTGAAAGGACAGAAACTTCTTTCGTAAAGAGACAGTAAGCATGTAAAAGTTGACACACCTTTCACAGCTTTGCAACTTACAACACTTTCCCCCTTGGAGTTAAGGAACACTGTGTAGGCCATCTATGCATCCTCGGCCTCAAATGGAGGCACTATTCTGTGTTGTGTTGGGGGGCGAGGTGAAAACCAAACAGACATCATGGATTTCAAAGAATATACCATCTTCTTAAAATCAAGCAATATTGTAGCATATAGCAAAGAAACAAGTCACAGCCATATAATGTGTTCATAGAAACTAAAGCATACCACAGAAACCAGGGCCAGGGCAAAGCCAAGCCAAACTACACAGCAACTTCACAGACATATATCTTAAACACAGAAAATGTTCATATTCTCCAAAGAACTCTTATACTGCCCAGGGGTCAATGACACTGGTAGTAACAAAATTCCAGATTATATATGTGTGTGCAACACAGAGACACACACACGTGTGCGTGCATGCACATATCACATGCTGGCCATATGTATACATATATCAAATATGTATTATTATATAGATATACCTGGTACCTTATTTATTAAAACATCGTGATTTGTAAAGCAATGGCAGATTCAATATTCCTAATTATAGTATCAATATGCTTCAAAGAAACAGCCACAAGGTCAAATTTGCTTATTTAAATTTTTAAAAACTTGTTTCAATGCCTTTAAAATCATACTGTTCCTAATTTAATTTCTTGACAGAATCAACTATATTTTGGAACTTCAAAGTATAAAGAATATGAATGCTGAGGATGAAAAGATGTGTCAAGTCTCTGGGGCTGAAAATATTAAAATTTAGCATAAATGTCTTTTTATTTCACGGAACGTGTGTTTCCATGACTGCGTTTCCTACAGTCCTGGAAGTACCGTGCAGCAGCGCCTGCCACACTCTCGTGTTTGCCATCAGACTGAATTGACTAGTCAGTGCTGCTACCGTTTGAGGCAGTGTCATATGTAAAATGTAGCCAAGGCTTCGAAACTTCCATTTTGTAAATACAAAGAAAAATGGAATCATTCTTTGATAAAAATTTTAAAATCCCAAAAATGAATGACCAAACAAACAACAACAAAAAAGAAACCCCAGCATTTCAAAGTCCATGCAAGTGTTAAAGCCAAATGCTAATATTAAACAATGTGGATCAGA